ACTCTAATATTTTGGCTTTTGTATATACACACTATGATCTTTCAAACTAAATATCAAAGATCAAAATTTAAATTTTAGCTCCGGACAGTCCTTTATGAAGTTGGGCGATATTTTGGCGAAGCCTCTCTTAAGTCAGTTGTTTCCCCCTTGCTCATTATTCTTGTTAGAAAATCTTGAAATAGAAGAGACGTTCTTTATTTTTTATGCTAACACTAACATATGTTAATAGAAAAAAAACGTATGAATGAAGACATAAATTTAAAAAATCATTTTTTTCGTTTTGCAACGATGAATGATAAGCCATCTAAGTATTACATAGCATTAATAACACCACCATAATATCGTTCACCAAGATTATCGATACGACGTTGAATTGCAATTGTTTTAAGTAATTCATCATTCAAATCTGTATGAATTTTAGAATAGCAACCATTGTATGTACACTTCCAATATTTAGTTGTAGTTGTTGTTTTGTTTAGTTTGAAAGTATATTCATTTGCTACTAATAAAGTTTTTCCTTTTTGTGATTTAATAAATGAAATGCTCAATTTTGGTTGGGTTCCGTCATTTGAAAATACCGTATTTGTTGCCATACTATTATCACTTTAGTTATTTATTTACTTCTTATATAGTTGTTTATTTAATCTCTATCACTTATTAGTCATCTTTACTACTAGTGGTGAAAAATCTCGACTAGTAGAATTATAAGAGAAGAAAACATGCATTCTTCGAATTTAGAGTTGTCATTTATCGGAGACATCGTTGTTTCTTTTATTTTTCATTTTTACATCTTTTTCAGTTAGAATTCATTTTTCGACATTTTTCCCCTTCGATATTTTTTCTTTCGACATTTTTCCTTTCGACATTTCTACTACACACCACAAAATTCATCGAGAAATCTTTTTCTGGTTTATTCCACATCACTATAGAGTAGGAAGTGTGTTTTGGCTACTAAGTGATGTAATACTGTAAGGAGAAAAACTTCACCATGAGAGTGAAACAATAAACTGAAAAATTGCTTGATGGAAGATTATATAACGTTAAGACTCTAATTAAAATACAACAAAAGCTCAAACCATGTGTATATAGAAAGCTGAAAATGAGTTATTAAAATAAAAATAGTAATGATAGTAAGTCATTTAAATATCGTTTTAAAAAACTTTGTAAAACTGTTACCACGACTAGTCATCGTTGTCATTGTCTTTGTTTTTATTTCTTCTGCACTGTGATTCAATATTTGTTCTCTCAATTCTTGTAGAACTAATTCCATCTTATCATTGCCACCTAATAACTGAGTTAAACGCCGTTTCGTCTTTTCAAAACATGCTTGCCATAGAGTCTTGTGTGGTTTGAAACGTTCTTGTTCCAAGATAATTAGAACGAGTGCAGATGATATAATTTGGTGATCGGATGTGTATTGAGAACGATAGGATGAAAGAGGTTTTTCCGTTAACTTTTTAATTTGTTCGTCCGACAGAGACCATAGACCGTCAAACTTTTGTAAATCGATTAAATGTCGAACAATATCTTGTTCTAAAGTTGGCCATTGACTAAGTGTGGAGAAGGATTTGTTAACACCTATAGATGAATCTCTTTCAAGTGACAGCAGTTGTTTTGCTCGTCCATTAGTTATTTTGACTTTTTTCTTATATAATTCGGCTCTATCACGTATTCTATCAATTTGTACATTTTGATGAGCTATCGTATCCCACATATTCAATTCTATATTTCGAAGATTTCCAAGCCCACTTGATATTAGTTGCAAATTATCGTCTATAGAATCATCGTAAGCAATTGAAGAGAAATGTGTTTGATTTCGACCTTGTGGTCTTGCAAAGAAATGTTTGTCATCAGCTGATATTTCAATTGGTACTTCTCGAAGAATCATACCGTTGTTGTCTATATTCAGACGTTTTTCAATACCCACATATGATGTGTATGGAGATAGAATACCATATTTTAATGAGAGATCAATGATTAGTTGTTGTCTCTTATCAAGTTGCTTCTCGGTTGCTGCGACTGGTAAAGATTGCTCATCCTGCTGTTGTTGAAAGCGTGCTTGTAGAGAACCTTTATTTTGTTCTTCACTCTTCTCATGTTGCAATTCATGAATAAGGGCTTTAGCCGCAAGATGACTAAGTGTCTGATCCTCGACTGTCGATGGAATGCGATCAACTTTAGCTTCACCAAGAAGAATGCTATTATCGGTTTTGTATAAACTGACAGTGATATCATGTTGAAATTGTGAGGAATCACTGCTTTCGAGTAATCCGTAGAAGATGAGACGATCATTTGCATATACAGGTGGCACTTTTTTTGGGGCTGTTTGGATTCCTGTCTGATTCCACTTGACTTGAACATTGGTGATACATGGTTGAAGTGCTTTTATCAACTGTTCAGCAACATAGATGTCAACCGATGCGTTTGGGGGAATGAAAACGAAATGGCCATTTGTTGCGCGAGCTAAGCCTTTAACAAGTGTACGAGATGGAGAATGACCAAGACCAAATGAGAAGATTCTTGATGAGGAAGACATTGATCGACAGAGATCCATTACTTCATTGACATTTGAAATCTCGCCATCTGTCAACAGGAAGATTTGACGTGAATGATATGGTGCGGGTGGTTTTGTGTGAAGATCCTGAAGAGGTCTGAGTAATTCTGTTCCACCTGAAAAGTAGAAACTCAGCTACAATCAAGCATTTACAATCAAATATTCTAACTGTACATTCTGCTAAAGTTCTTTAATAGTAACAAAGTGAGACAAACAAGCTAAGCTTTCAACTAGAGCAAAGCCGTCTGATCTCTATGGGACAAGTTTTGTTGGAATTCGAAATTGTTCGGTTTTCTCTTTAACTTCCATGAGTTGCCTAATTCGACTTCAGGTACAAATGAACCATCAATTTCATAATATCAATTCGAAAATAAATGAAAGAAGAACAATGCCAGCGACTGATTGTGGCAAAAGAGGCAAAGGATAGTTTTGCCATAGTTATAAATTATAATTGGATGGAGGGAGCGAGCGCGGGTAACAACGTGGGAATGCCTGGTTTTTCAGGTGTTTATGGGTTCGATACCTCTATGCCGTTAATATGGTTATATTTGTGTACCTGTATATATCTATACTTGTATGCTTCTATAAAGTATAGAGTTGTAGATTTTAAATTGGCTACAGGCTAAGATACGTTATAGCCTGCGGAAAAAAGCAAGGAAAAAATGTTTTGCCTAAATTATAATTTATAATTATGGCAAAACCTTTTTTCTTACCCTTCTACCGGGGAAAAAATTAACCCAAATCGTATTTTAATCGTATGTATTAAAAAGACTCAGAAAGTATATCAATTTGTATATTCATATTAGACTTTTATCTGTATTATAAACGTATATTCTTGTACTATTCACATATATCCAAGAAAACTTCTTCTGACTATTGACTCTTTGTTTTAGATCAAAATTACGATTTGCGTTAATTTTTTTCCCGGTAGTTTTGTCTAAAACTTGCTCATGAGATTTTAAAAATTTTCTGTATATTTGAACTCGAATTACGCAGCTACTCTTAACTTACTTGACAATCCACATGTACAGATGTTTTATCAACTAAGAGTAACAGAAATATGTGATATCCCACATTTTCAATGTTTGACACAGACGAATGTTTTCTCATTGATGTTGCAGAGTATAACTTACTGTGACATTAAATTGAGAAAGGGACGGCAGTTAAGTCAGTTATAGCTTGTAAGTTAGCCGACTAAGATTATTCTATTTCTGAGACGTGTGCTCCTCATTCAGATAGCTTTGAAAGACAAAACTTCTGCTTCTTAGAGCTCTTGAGACCTACACTGAAGAGCTTCGTCGTGATAAACATTGATATGAAGCAATTGGAAACTTTGCACATGTAATATCTCTCGAATCATGTACTTCATCTAAATGTTTAATACTCACCAAGATCAGCTTGCATTAGTTTGATCATCTTCTGTGCTTTATTCATCGTCTCTTCATTATAAATAGCTGTGACTTTTTTCTCAAAGAGAGATTGATAGTGTGAACCAAATCGAATGATATTGAATCGACAATTAACTGGAAGACTTTTCAAGAAAAGTAACATTGCTTGTCGAGCTGCATCAATTTTATCACCTTCCATTGAACCACTACAGTCGATGACGAAGACAAATTCATTTGTACTCAACTGATCAGCACCTGTACCAAGAGCTTTCTTACAATCTTCTTCATTTGGAGTAAAAACTGCCATTATTGCATTCTTCTCGACAGCCACAATCGTATTTGATCTTATTTGAGACAATTCAATATCTAAGATGATATCGCGGTCTAAGTGTGTCGATTGTTGACTCAAAGACACATTATAAAAGTCATTATGCGAAAAATCGACATTTATGGAATGCGAAGATGAAGACACTTGTGACAGTTGTTGTCCTAATTTGTCGATCTGACAACTAAATTCGATTGTGTAAGGAGTTGACTGAACGTATTGTGATGTTGTTCCAGCGACTGTCGATGAGATTTGCCCTTCTGATGGATTGTATCTTGGTGCAATTGTTGTTGGAATAACGAATCGAATCTTCTTACCATCATCAACTAATTCGAGTTCAGACACATAACTGATCTTAATTTCACATTGTTTTCCAACTGGTAGTGCACCAACATTGATTATGAAACAATCTTGTGACTTTTCATCTTGTTCAAGCAAGTATGCACCGTGTCCTTGTCTAAGAGCGTCTGAATACTCTCGCTGTGCTTCTTTTTTCTCTTTCAATTGTGCTACAATTTCGCGATCATCAATTTTTGCTACGAATGAGTATACGGCGGCATTTTCTTCAATTGGAAAGCAATAGATAGCTTCAACCGATGTTTTTTCTTCATTTTGAAACAATTGAGTGATTGTTACATCAGCAATAAATGCGTGGATTTTTGCACTGACGTTAACTTGTTTAAGAGGAATGGTTTTCGATGAATCGTTTACTCGACGTAACATCGTTCTATATTAAAGAAAACGAATTTTTTAGTATTACCTTTAGACAAGAAGAAAGTATTGTTCGAGATGGCCTTAATCTTAGACTACTATATTTCTTCAACAGTCATCTTTTCATATATTTTGAATCAGTTCTTATCATTCTCGCGGCTATCAAAGAAAAGACAAATATCGCTCATAGTTATAAACAAAAGGAAAAAACAATATTTCAGAATAGAATCACAGACCAGAGCAAGAAAGAAAACAAATACTTTGAATCGTCATTAGCGTTGAAGATTACAAAGAAATATAGATAAAATGACTGACTCGTAATTACTTCGAAGCATGAATATGAATATCTGTGCTTTTTTGAATAAAGTAAATAAGATCTTCACTTCGACAACATACAGCTATCTGGTAGACAAAAATTTTTCGTTTGTAAGTGTATAATGATGCTGTTGTTGGTTACACTGCATAGCAATGTTAAAGAAATTCGTTTATAGCAACATGTTGCAAATGTCATTATACGGGTGTCAATGCTTGCTGATTCAGCGTCACTTCACCCATGTATTGACTTTGTGTTGGTTTTTTTAAATTGAAAAACTCACTGATAACAGCTAAGAAAGTGCACCATTCTCCATTTTCTTATCGAATGTTTACTATGCAAGTGAATGCGGCTATTCAAGTATGCTGTGTGCAAGGACCTTGACTTTCCGCGAAAGAAGAAAAAAAAGCATGTGCATCAATCCCCTTTTTTCTCTCTTTGTGAATGGCTTACGCAATACGAAAAGGCACTGTTACAGTGATGTCGCACTGATACAACTCGCCATCTATTTTCATTTTTTATTCTTATTTTCCATTTCGTTTTTATTTATTTCTCGGTGGCATATCTAGTCTTCTCTTCTGTTATCCATATATCTAGTCTCTGTTCTCTTTCTTTTCTTTCTCTCTCTTTTCTTTTTTCTCTCGCTCACTATTTATGTACGTGTTTTCCGTCATTTAATTATTATAATAAAAAGATCATATGTAAGTATACACATACATGCACACATATATATACATTTTTAAAAGAAAGAGAACGAACTTAGCGTTTATCTAAAAGAGCGAACGCTAACAATTGGTAACCCTGGCAAATGTTTTACACCACCATCACAAATTATTTAACATAAACACTTAAGGACCTCTTATAACAGAGACCCGGACAAGATATCATATTAAGGTCTCTACATAAGGAGACTGGGATTTATATTAGTTAAAGGCCTCTAGAAAGAGACCTGGTCAATTGCAATATTAAATAGCATCTTTCATAAGAGGTAAAAAAAAGGGTTTCATACATTTTTTCCAAGTCACTTTCTCAGAATATAAGGAATACTTTTAAGAGAGGGTCCGTGAGAATACCACCCAATCATTAACACGGGCACATGATGAATTTTAAAAACACGATTTTATTCCATAAAATGAAAGATCATGTTTGAAAACCTACAAATCCTAAATTTCAGCTCATTCCCATAGATCCTTGAAGAGTTATAGGGATAACACTGTGATGTGTCCCAATGGTATTGAATCAAAATATCGAAATTTTCATTTTGACGGTATTTCATCGATTTCTCTCCTAAAACTTACACATAACTTTTATTTGAATATCTCAAAAGATAGAGAATTTTTCGCTCTATCATAT